TAGTAGTTGAGGGAGTAGTAACGGTACTGCTATTAAGAGCAGTAGCTTTATTTGTAGTACTAGTTCGGAGAGTAGTCGTATCAGTACAAATAGCAACATCAGAGGTGTTGAAGCGAATCAGGTTGGTGGCGACTCGAGATGGGAAAGTTGCAATAAGTGTAGCTCGTTGACAATTGATTTCGTCAGATTTGTCGTCAACGAAGCAATCTAAATGAATGGCACCGCTGCATTCTACCGTGGTACCGCTTCGTCCAACTGTCCATCCTGTAATACTGCTGTGCTAGCGTCAGTTATATTCTAATCGACATTCATTTAAAAATACTGTAAAATCGCACCAAGTTCCCCTTATCTTCTAACCCTCTCCCATAACTGTCCTGCTTCGATATGAAATATATCATGCTTCCTTCATGTATTTTTTTTAAAAGTTCTGGAATAAAAATGATTTGACACTGCCAGTCTGGAGAATCAGCTGCGGGCCGGGATTACACCGGCTTATTTCCGAGCAGGAAAGGCCGGGTTCTTGTACAGAAAGGATGTCGTACATTACAAGGAAAGCAAGGGAGCTCACTCATATTGACCCAACTGTGAAAAACTCGGCGTCTCGGTGGGATTCGAACCCACGCAGTATGTGGAAGGCTTTTGCGCAGCCAACGCTCTAACCACCTGAGCCACGAGGCCCCGACGGACGACGCGAGTTTAATCACATTTGCGTGGGTTCGAATCCCACCGAGGCGCCGAGTTTTTCACAGTTGTATCAATATGAATTATTCAAAATCTGCCAAAATATCAGTGAAGGGAGCTCATCGTCTACTCCATGTTGAGAAAAATGCAGCTGCGCTGGAGCGGCCATCTGGTGCGCATGGACGACGAGCGACTACCCAAACGGTTCTTCTACGGGGACGTCGCGACGGGTTCTCGTCGTAAAGGAAGCCCAATTCGTCGGTACAAGTATACTCTGAATTCCTCCATGAAGCAACTGCAAATCAACCCGACCAACTGGGAAGAGCTCGCCCGCGATCGTCCGACATGGAGGAGAACAGTGAAGACGGGCGCTGCTATCCACGAAGCCAACCGCATCACCGCCGCCAAAGCGAAACGCGAAGCCCGCAAATCCCAACTGCGCTCAGGCAGCAACGCCGCCGCACAACCGCTTCCAACGTGTCCTCGGTGTCAGCGGACATTCCGGGCTCGAATCGGCCTTGTTGGACATCTTCGGATCAACTGTAACTCTCGAACTGCTCCAGCCATCGTCCCCCCGTCCGCCTCATCCTCGTCCACTCTGCCGCCTACTAACTCTGACAATCCTTCTGCACCACCACTTCCATCCTCCTCCTCCTCCCCCTCCTCCTCCTCCTCTTCCACCACTGCCCCAACGGCGGCCGCTCAGCAGCCGTCTCGCACATCACCAACCGCGACACAACAACCGGCACCACCCCCGCCTCTCCCGACTCCAGCAATGAGAATCAGGACTACACCTGCCCTCACTGCGATCGCACTTTCACCTCACGCATTGGCCTGGTCGGTCACTTGCGAATCCATCGCACAGAGACCGGAGAACCAGTGCCTGGAGCACCAACCTAAACCCACGAAGCTCGTCTCAACTGCCCACACTGTCCTCGCACTTTCAGGCACCGCATGGGCCTATTCGGTCACATGCGCATCCACGACGACCTGCGGTAGACAACCGCCGGTTACACCACACATCCACACACTCCCTACCCTCCTCCACCATCACCAACACACATAAACACTCACCCACTGCATGCACCAACTGCCACCTTCCATGCAAGTGGGAAGTGTGCATCTCGACTCGGTCCCCACGCGGCTTCGGCTGCACGGGTGATTTGAGTCCGAGGCTATCCCGACACTCCAAGTGTCGTGGATAGGAAGGTTGCTGATTAACGCCTGCTCTCGGTTCACGCAGTTCGTCGCGTTGTGTGTGTGTGTTGTGTGGAGTGGCGGACTGGTGGGCTGGGAACGGGCTGAAACAGCACCTTCCACGGCACTCTCACGCAAGTGAGTGACACGCCGTTCAACCCCCGTTGTGTGAAATCCTGGTGTTGTGTGTATGGGGGGCCAGGTCGTGCTGTGGCGCGCGCAGTCACGGTCAGTCGACCGTGGCAGCCACCGCGCCCATTCCCCACTCCAGTTTGCCAACCGGCTCGGACGGCGGCTGGGGTGTGGGAATGGGAAGGGAGAGTGAGATCGACGACTCAGCGCACTTTCCTCACTATAATCAATCTGACGCGCTTGAAGCTATCGCGGTGCGCTAAAAGCCGTGGCTTGGAAGGTTGCCAACTGACGGGGTAACTTGGTCCTACTCCTTAACTGGAGGCGGTCTGAGAGTCAGGCTGCAATGGCTCCTTTTTAATGTGGCCTTTATGGCACTCTCACCACAGTGTGGGATCCGAGTCAGGCGTTGGCTGCACGCCCAGGTGCGGTTTCGGCCGTGCCAGCCTCCAAATCTCTGTTGTTGGTTGAAATCGTGGTTATTGTTGTGTGGACCAGGGGGTGTGATGGAACGCCAAGGTGAGGATCCGTCCGAGCCATCCACCTGCGGCCTCCCTCGTCTCCGGTCTTCTTGCCTCTGTCTTGACACCGGGTACGGGCGGGGGAGGAGGAGAGAGTGCAGGTAGATGCAGCGCAAGTCCACTGGCACTATAAACCCCTGCGTAGGTCACCGTCCCTGCTCTAACCTGCTGTGGGGCACACGGTGGACATCATCGAAATTGATGGTCGAACTGTCAAGTGTGGTAAATCGGCATTAATGTTTTCAACACAAACGTTTGCGGTGTCCTTAGAATATGAGTAAACACACTTGAGGTCGTCGGCATAAATAAAAGTTTGCGAATTTCCGAGTTCAGTCGAAATATCATTGATGTAAAGAAGGAAGATTAGTGGACCCAGAACCGTGCCTTGAAGTACGCCACTGGTGATTGAGTGAGGTGTCGAATAGCTATTACCGACCATGGCTTTCTGATATCGGTTGGACAGATAGGACCTCATGAAGTCAGACAGGGGAGGCCGGATGCCGAGAGCTTCCAATTTTACCAAAAGACGTCTATGGGGCACCGTTTCAAAGGCTTTGTTATGATCAAAGTAGATTATCACCACTGACTGTTGCGCATTGTGATTAGATTAGGAAATGCCAAGTGACATGTTTTGCAGGATCGATCAGGTAAAAATCCATGCTGATAAGAGTTCAGAAGCCGATTAGCTAGACAGAAGTCAAGAATTTCATTGAAATTTTTCCTTTCAAGGAGCTGTGCTAGAGAAGGTGTTTTGTGCACGCCCCGATTGTTATTAACATCGGACCGAGATCCCGACTTGGAGACAGGAATGATAATTGACGTTTTCCATGTTTCAGGAAAAAAATCCTTTTGCAATATAAGACGGACTAAGCAATATGTGAAAGTCAGATGCTTATTTCATTATCGAATTTGGAATCAAGTCCGTTTCTGCGCAGTGTGAGTTTTTGTAGTGGCGTTTGTGTTTCTTAATGAGATCTAAGGAGACATCAGTTGTACTAAGTGTCCTATCTGAAAGTGATCGAAAGAAATGGACCGGTTCGGACTCAGTATTAAGGTGTTTTGCAAAGAAAGCACTTAACAACTCCGCCTTGTCAGTGTTATCGATAAGGAAGACTTTGTTATCATTTAGCAGGGGTGGAAGTTCGTGATCACGCTTAGAGGAGGACCGATGACGGACGATGTTAACGACGGATTTACCAGGGTTCGAATCACTGAGGGCAAGTGACTCTCTTTGCCTGTTGCGCGTTTGGCGCCTCCTTGGGGTCATTTCAAAAATCTCTGTGATTCTAAGATGAACAGATAAGGAATTAGTGGATAGATCACACAGCTGCCGTCTCAACATTTTTAGTCTGTTATGAAGAAAATGAGGAACAAGGGAATCTGAAGAATCAGGATTGAGATATCTAAACGGCACAAACTGTGGGATGTCCTTGGAAACATTGGACATGGCATCGCGAAGAATGGTTGCATTGCTACAGGAGAGGAAGCCAGATCACGATAAAGAACAGGTAACCAGATCAATAACAGGTAACAAGAGAAACAAATTTATTTTACAGAAAAAACTCAAAATGCATGTTAAAAAAAACAACTACTCAGTATGAGAGCCATTGTAAACAATGACTTCTGTGATTCTCGGTCTGAACTTGGCGCACATGTTCCTGATGTACTCCATTGACATCTTTTTCCTCTCTCTAGCAATGGAGACCTTCAGGACCTCAATGAGTTTGCAAGGCTTTTTGCAGGCCTCGTCATCGACATTCGCTCAAATGCCACTGTTGGGGAGATTTACGTCTGGCGAGGATGGTGGCACATATTCTTGGGTCAGAAATAAGGCATGTGCTTTTCCAGCCACTCCTATGTCTTCCGTGATGTGTGTGCGGAGGCGCACCGTCTTGTGGGAAGGCCGCATTGTCGTCTGGAGTGTAGTTAGAATTTATTCAAGGCTTGACATACTTCTGAAGAACATCCACGTACAGGTCTGCGTCCACTTCGACCCCGGCCTTGATGAATATAGGGGACAAGACTTTGCCGTCCGAGGCAATCAGGCCAAAGTCCATCGCAGATGCAGGATGTTTGGTCCAAAACTTGTACTTAACATTCTCAGGTACCTCGTTGACCTTTAGAGGGCTAAGATGGCGATCGGTTTGACTGTTGGACATCGAATCGACCCTGAAGAGTTCTTCGTCGAGGTGCATCACCGTATCTGGTACTTTCTTGAGAAAGCTTAGGATTTTCTTACTTCTTTCCAGCCTCCTCTCTCTCTCCCACAGCCTCAGTAACAAGATGCTTCTTGGTCCTAGCCTCTGACATAGCCGTTTGGTCCTTTTTCACGGCATTCCTCACCGTGTGCTCAGACATCTGGAGCTCTAAAGCCATCGTCTTTAAGCTTTGGACTGGATAACAACGGATTTGACCCCGGACATTCCTTATAAGACGAGAGGTTTGAACTTTTTTGTTTTTCCACTAACAGCCTTCCTGTCGATGCGGCCCAAATTCTTATAACACTCGATAATAGTGTAAAGTGTTGATCTGGCCATTTCCGGCTTGACAGCGATGTTCGTGGACGAGAATGCATCGAAACTGAACCGAATATCTGCCTCATTTTGTTTTTCATGACAAAATATTTTAAAACGTTTTCAAAGAAATGGCTATTATATTGTTATCACGGTATTCTACAGGAAAAACGCATTGATTTAAATACAAATATTCTCGAAATGTAGCGGCAAAACTATTACACAATTTACGGTCGCATACGGTAGCTGGTCGGGATGCTTTTGCTATTCCCAATTCTGGCCAAAATCGCCACGCCGAAAAACCTGTCGCTACCTGAAGCGACCCACAATTTGACTGTGAACGAAAAGTGAACTAGTGCATTTATATTCACTGAACATTTCTGATGTGCTTGTTGTCCATGACATCAGTTCATGAGTGGAAACTGCGCTGGGTAAATTCTGACGGTCTAATTTAATGCCTGATGGGGACCTCTGACGTACTGTTTACCAAAACGTAAGCCTTGCGATTTTCCGATGCTTGAACTAGATCTGCTCATTAGTTATGCGCATTTTCCTATAAGTTCTCAGTTAAATTTCGGGGTGTCTGGACCTGAAGTCACGGTAAGCAAAGGGATTTCCATGATCATAGAATTCCTCAGATATTTATTTACATTGCCTCCAAATATCCAAAATATCAAATAAGTGCAAATGGGCAGTCTTCTGACTAGAACAAATCGTCTAGGTAGGTTTTGATGGCCTTATCGTCAGCCGGTGCACTTTTCATCCGACAATAAGTAGGTACGATATTGACAGGGCAACCGGGATTAATTAATACCGTTCCCACTAATTTCCTCTAAGTGCAGAGCTGAATGTAGGGGACCGTGACGAAAACTATAAACAACAACCCTAGACTTGCAACGTTCAGCTATGAGTAAAGGCTCTTCCTCAGCTTGTCAGATGCGGTCGTTTCGAGCGTTGGTAGGGCGCGCAGCAGACACCTCTCATTTGAGGTCTAATGCCCAAGTAAACACAAGATCCATCCTCGTATCGACATCCCAATGGAATCCGAAGACTTCGACTCCAGGCTCGAACATGTAGGTCTCTAGGTTGCATATAAACTAGATTACTGCGGAAGTCTGCCCTGGTCGAAAGTCCGGAAAGGAGGCATTTGTGGGTAACATAGACATCCTGAGTACCTGCGAGACAAGGCTGTCAGCAGCATCAACAAGACTCATGCCAACAGCTTTCGATAAGTGTGGCTAATTTATATCGGCAAAGGCCTCAGTAACTGTGCAGGTTTTATACATTTTCGACACTGTAACGGTAGGTCTGCCAACGATAGTATCTGCGAACAGACAACTCCCTCTTATCCAATTACAGTAGATGTGCTAACTCGTGAAATGACCGAAAGTCGGAAATGCGTTTTCGACTAGGAAAGATCACTAAAGTAAGGCTGTAACACTAACCGTCGTGCAGCATTATCTCATAACAATTCCGTTACTATAGGATGTCGGCTTTGGAAAGAATTTCGTTGCGACGCACAGCGGAGACTATAATCTGTAAAAATTAGTACTTAGGTAATATGAACTATTTCACTGATTTTCGACGCCCATATAAATTTGAATATGTTTAGTAGAAACAGACATAAACATATTCAATATATTACTCATTTGGTAGAAAACTTAGTCTTCTTCAAATTTTATTCTTACAGGAAGGGCATAATT